CCATTTCTTCCTTTCTCGAATGAATCATTCACATCAATGTCGTCATTCAATCGATCAGACCGCTCACCAATAATCTCATAAACACAACAAAGCTACTTCGGTATAAGTCACAAGACTACTTAGAAATGCAAAAACGTATTAAAGAATATGGTAATGGTGATGTTCTTTGGAATCTTAAATTCTCAAACATATGAAGTGAGTCAACAATGAGTGCAATGAATAAGGGTAGTTTGGGGTGTCGAATCGGTGACATGTATGACCAACCCGATTATCGTTAGTGTTAAAACTATTATCGTTTATAATCATATTTAAATTAAATATTAATATATATTTTTTTATTTATATAATTTATTGTTTTAATTAAAAAAAATTATTACACTCGGACGGCAAATGAATTGCCACTAGTTATTAACTTTTACACACTAGCACGAATTGAATTGGGTAAATTTATAAAAGATGTTAATTCAATTGACGCCAACTCTATTTTATTAAGGGAGTCGTCAATTTATTTGACAACATCTCTGTGTTTTTTTTTGAAAAAATTGATTATTTAAGAAATTATTTTAAAAATATTAATTATTTATATAAAAAATTAAAATAACTAACTACAAATATTAAGAATATTATTTTTATTTAATTTTATTTATAGAATAAAACACTATACTCTCTTCAATTATTGATTATATGTCATTTAAAAAATACTAAATTATAAATAGTTTACCATATCAATGAATTAATGATATTATTTTTTATTATACTTTTTAGTATTTATTATTTTTTATTAATTAATTTTTGTACTACTAGTAAAAATATTTTTATAAAATAATTAATAGTTTATCTGTCTCATATAAATTTAATCCCATTTCTTAATATATATTAAAGTAGAAAAACAATATACACAAAAAATAATACTAAATCACTCTTTTTGTTCTATTAATTCTGATATAGAAATTATTCATTAAAAATATTTTATGAATGAAGTACTAAAAAAGAAATATTTATGAATGGTAAAATTAAATAAAGTGAAAGTAGTTATATTTTGAAACATTACCAATGCAATTTTGAATCCCTCAAAGAGTTAGATTCAAAATAAGTCAATGGTTAGTAAAAAAAATTCAAAATATTAATTTTTTTTAACTATAAAAAATAGATTCATACACTAATTAAAAATATAAACTTATAAATATTTTAAAAAATTTTCTCATATAGACCATAATACTAATTAGAGATTCTGTGGGGGCAGTTTTAGATTTTTTATTATTAAAAAAAAAAAAAATCTAAACCAACAAAATATATTAGAGAGGCCACGTAGTACCAACACTCATACACCAACCACCACTTTCTCTCCTCTTAGATTGGAAGAGATAGAATTTAGAAAGAGAGAATTAATGGCAGGACAATCACGGAAATGGATGATTCTCATAGCAACAATCTGGATTCAAGCATTCACTGGAACCAATTTCGATTTCTCATCTTACTCTTCCACCCTGAAATCCGTACTCAAAATCTCACAAGTTGAACTTAACTACCTCGCAACCGCAAGTGATATGGGTAAGGTTTTTGGCTGGTCTTCGGGTCTCGCTCTCATGTATCTTCCAATCTCGATTGTTATGTTCATCGCTGCTGCTATGGGTTTAGTTGGTTATGGACTACAGTTTCTTCTCATCAATAATTTCATCACTTTGCCTTACTTTCTGGTTCGTTGCTTTTCCTTCGTACTCCATTTCTCATTTTAGTTATTTTAGGTCATTTTTTAAATTATTATTGGTTTTGTTCAAATTAATTATTAATTAGTGGCTTAATTTAAATTAACTGTGTCTGTGTTTTGGCAATTTCGTGATTATTAACCTGAAGGTTCTCCCTGGCTTGAGGGTTAAATTTTAAAAATTATGTGATATTGAAATTTTTTAAATTAGTATATGATATGACAAAATAATATATTTTTATTAGATGCACGTATATAACAATTAAACCCTTTAAATTAACTGTGTCTGTTTTTGGCAGTCGAGAAATACTAATAGAGTTAATAGAGTTTTTAAAATTCTTAATAATTAATTAAAGCTTATCACATAAAATTTTGTGATTACTAGAGTTTTTCGTCTATTATAGTTTCGCGTCGGCTTGAGGGATTAGGTGCCTGGAAAATATCGGGTTTATTAAAAATACACATTCTTTTAAAATAAGTGACTTTTTAAATTTATAATAAAATATTAAATTTTTTCACCTAATATTAATTTTTAATGTACTACTTAATTTGGAATAATAATAATAATAATGTGTTAATTTAAAAAAAATGAAATATCAATCTTTACTAGAGGAATATACTAGGAATAAGCACTTATTGGATGTGTGGCCTCAAACCATCGAATAATAGAGATGGTTTTTTAAAAAAAACTGTTTTTTTTGTCTTTTTTTTCTTTGTAACTGACAAGATTCCAAAGGCGTATCTTGAAAAAATTGTATTTTTTTTAGCTTGTTTTGAATTTTAACGGACGATGTGTTTTCTGAATAATAAGAGTGACATGATTTATTTGTTATTTTTGACTTAAGTGTAACGTTATTAGGAAGTAATAGCTTGTTTTCTTAAAATTCTTATATGTCATTTTCATTTCAACGACATTTTGTACATTCTGGTGGTCCCATTTCCTCCAGGCTCTGGTGTTCACATGTTGTTATTATACAGACATACATACACTAATAATAAATGATAATGATAGATTATCTAAAAAAATAATGATAATTATGGCTAACTAACAAGTATTAATGCATAATTTTATTTTTGTACAAGTTTCTGAATTACAAGGAAAGTTATAGTGATTTTGACTAGCTTTTCACTTTTTCATGTTTCAGGTTTTTCTTCTGTGTCTGTTAAGTGGTTGCAGCATTTGTTGGTTCAACACAGTATGTTTTGTTCTCTGCATAAAAAATTTCCCAGTGAACAGACCCTTGGCATTATCACTCACTGTGAGTTTCAATGGTGTAAGTGCAGCACTTTATACACTAGCAGCAAATTCGATAAACCCTTCATCGGATCAACTTTATCTTCTCCTAAACGCCCTTGTTCCTCTTTTCACTTCGTTCGCAGCATTACTTCCGATTCTCCGCCAGCCGCCTTTATCAGACACTCATTCTTCTCATGCGGCTCGTCAGAACTCGGTTATATTTCTAACATTGAACATTTTAGCGGTTTTTACAGGGATTTATCTCCTTCTCTTTGCGTCATCGGCTTCTGATGCGGCAATGTCAAGGCTTTACTTTGGTGGAGCTCTTGTACTTTTAATATCGCCGCTATGTATTCCTGGTGTTATATATGCTAGAGATTGGTTTCGCCATGCTCTTCATTCGAGCCTTCGGGTTGAAAGCTCTAGCTTCATTCTTGTTCATGTTAATGATCTTGAGCTTCATAAAGAACTCCTTACGCGTCAGAATAGTGCTCGGAGTGTCAGCAATGGAGATGGTCAACATCTGCTTGGTGAAAATGGACGTGGATTCCAGAGGGGGAAAATTAGTGATGTGAATTGTGAGAAGTTTTTGGGGCAGGATCAATTGGAAATGCTTGGAGAAGAGCATTCAGCCGCGGATCTTGTCAAAAGGTTGGATTTTTGGCTGTATTATGTTGCATACTTTTGTGGAGGTACTATTGGTCTTGTTTACAGCAATAATCTTGGACAGATAGCTCAATCTTTAGGCCACAGTACAAGAACATCGACCCTTGTCACACTGTATTCATCGTTCTCCTTCTTTGGCCGCTTGCTGTCAGCTACGCCAGACTATATTCGAAAGTAAGTATTCTTTGAACATAAATGATCTGTACATAAATGATGAGACTGACGGTAAAATTTTCTGCAATGCAGCAAGTTCTACTTTGCAAGAACAGGATGGCTAACCATTGCACTTTTACCAACACCAATTGCATTTATCTTGCTGGCTTCATCAGATAGTGCCATCGCACTTGATATAGGCACCGCACTAATTGGTTTGAGCTCAGGTTTCATATTTGCGGCTGCAGTGGCAGTTACATCTGAGCTATTTGGACCTGACAGTTTGAGTGTCAATCACAACATCCTCATAACAAATATTCCAATTGGATCCCTTCTCTATGGTTTTATGGCTGCAACAGTTTATGATGCCAATGCTATCTCGGCACCTGGAAATACAAACATGATAATGTCTGATTCACTGGTGTGCATGGGAAGACAGTGCTATTTCTTGACATTTATATGGTGGGCATGCATATCTGTCATAGGATTAGTTTCTAGTATGCTGCTATTCTTAAGAACCAAACACGCTTATGATTGTTTCGAGAGACACCGTATTTCAGCACAACCGACTTTGTCTTAACTTTTGACACTGCAAGGATGTGAATATCATTTACATAATTGTTGATAGCAGAAAAACTTGACATGTATAGGACATGATTTTGGAGGCAGAAAGAGTAAGGATTTTGGTTCTATTCTCCACGACGCAAGAAGCAACTAAAAAATTGAAGAAAATGTGAATTTTTTGAGTCTGTGACTTTGGGACAAAGTGAGCAGATACATACTCTACTTTGTAAGTTTTACATGTTTTCTGAAGTGACAGACTATGAATTGATTAATAATTTAACTTTGTTATGTATTAATCCCTTTATTCCTTTTTAGTTGTCGCTTTTGTAGAAAATTCTGCTTTCTATTTATTTATCATTTTCAAAGTTCAAATATTCAATGCAACATAATTATTATTTCATCAATACAAAAGAAAAATTTATTAATTTTCTTAGTATGTATAGATAACCTTAAAACAACAACCTAAAGGGTGCGGTGGGAGTAACAAACTAACAATATGTATGTGTGACAGAATCACCACAACCCCAACCTTTTTATTATTTATGAGAAGAGTATATCAAAATGAAAAACTTTTAAAAAAAGTTATAATAAATTCATGTCATATATTGAATTAAAGAAACAAAAAAAAGGCAGTTACAGAAAGAAAAAAAACAATACCTATAGCCTAAATTAACCTCAAGGATAGGTACAAAATGTATCCCTCTTTATGCATAAGAATAGTCTCTCATATGCTAGTGCCATCTTTCTTGCTGTAAACATAGAATTTGCATATTCGCGGCAAGCATTACCTCTCCTCGCTAGCCTCTCTTTACCATCCTTTACCACTTCTTCGAGTGCTTCCAAAAGTGAGTCCACATTTGGAGAAAACATATAACCGAATTCATCATCAACAACAATACTACCTTTGATACTTGGAAACCTTGATGCCAAAAGAGGCTTTCCAATCATCATAGCCTCCATCAGTGTAAGATCAAGTCCTTGTGGTCTTAATGTAGGATTAACAAAAATATCAATAGCATTATAGAATGCTCTTAGCATAGAAGGATTCATAGATCCAAGAGTAAAAACTTGGTTCCCTATATCTTTGTACCTATTCTCCCATGGTCCAGAACCCGCTACAATCAAATACACGTTAGTGTGTTTTGTTATAAGCCTTGAAAATGCTTCATGAAGTAGTGGATGACCTTTATCCTTCACTAATCTTCCAACTACTCCAAATACTAAACTTGCATTACTTGGAATCCCAATTTTGGTTCTAAACTCATTTCCTAATTCAGCATCTTCTCTAAAATCTTCTTCATCAACACCATTGAGAATCACATGAACTCTTCTACTTGGAATTTGGTAAACATCTCTTAACATCTCACCACAGCTATCACTAATAGCAACATGATGAGAATATTTGTTGAAGAATCTTATCTCATTGAGAACCTTAGGGACAACCCCTTGTAACCCTTTTTCGAAGTCTTGTGATCTAGGTTCGTTCGGCAGACGAGCCAAATCCTGAAAAATGCTCGATTGCAAGCTTTCCAATGCTATGCCATGCCATGATACAACAAGATTCGGAAGTTCCTTTGCAAGCCAATGAGGAAGTGCTACACTTTCTGAATGAACAACATCAAAAGGTTGATCTCTTTGGTTTTCTTCAAGAAAAAGTTCCCATGCTTTGTTGTAACGCCACTTACCTGGGTCACCTTCATGAAAATGAATGTAAGGCGAAGAAGGTGCACTTTTTGATGAGATTGAAGTTGTTGTTGTTGACTCATCTTCTTCTGAGGGTGAAGTAAAGACATGAACTTGATGTCCGCGGCGAGCTAAAGTGGTGTGAAGGGTGTGAGCATGGCGTTCCATGCCACCAGGAACGGTTCCAATAGGCCATTTTCTAGAAAATACTGCAATTTTGAGAACTATAGGTGAAGGGTTATTGCGTTGTGAAAACAAAAGGCTGTTCCATGCAAACTCAGCTGAAAGAAGATCACCTGAAAAAGTTTGGGCAAGGTTGGTGCATTTGGAGTTTGCGGTGGTGTTGTTGAGAAGGAAAAAAGTTGGTATAGTGAAGAGGGAAATGAAGAAAAGGGTGATGCAGAGATTGAATTGAGAATTAGGTGAATTATACTTCTTGGATTTGTTGTTGAAAGCCATTAACTCTTTAAAGTTTTTCTGAAATTTGGGTCATATATATGTATAATTTATGATCTATGAGATATATCTATAGGGATAAGTAAGGAAGGCATTGAGCAAAGTGTGTTAGGTTGTATTTTTTCTTGAAGTGCATTTTTCACAACCCTTTGAGAGAAAAAAGTGGATCCATGTGATAAAGGTTTCGTAAGTTTGAGATTCATTATTAAATATCCTGAATTTCTGGTTAGGTTTTTTCAATTGATCATTCTTTAGAGGGCTATCTTTTTGTTGTTTGATATACAAGCATATATGAACACCAAAACATAGACTTATCATTATTTTTTTAAGAAAATTGTTGTATGAGAAAGTAAAAGGTTAAACTAATAGTGTCACTCACTCAATCAACTCCATTAAGAAACCTATTTTTAATAAAAGTCAATGAGGATTGTTCAGCACGTTTAGGTGATTGCAATTTGCTTACATGATTTGAAATCTTTACAATTCAATCTCCTCACCATTTTTGGAATGCATAGTTATTGTCAAACTACGTGACGTTGGTAGGGTTTGTTAAGTCCTTAAGCAGTTAGAAAGACAAACACAGAAAGAATACTTCAGATATGTCAAAAGGAAGATTTTATTGTACGATATACAGATATACAGTTTACACGGCATGCATGCATATATATATTTTATAGGTTTATACATATATATAGGGTGGCTTAATAATCACTCTAGCCGTACCACATGTCATATTTTACACTTAATTAAAAAACACTCTTTCTAATATAATTCATAGTAATCAAGTTTTTTTGCTCCTAACTGGAGCCAATTGCTTCTGGTTTGCACCATTTGCTCTAGTTTTCACATTAGAGGCTCCATTTTTAGTAGATTTTGATGATATTGGCCAGTGTCCACTAGTAACTGCCATGTCCTTGAACTGTTGAAGGTTTTCAAGTGTTTCAACAATCATTGCCATTCTTGGTCTGTCTTTAGGATGCAAACTTATGCATTGTAACGCCAGATGTGCTATCTCTTTTGCACCTTTCACAGAATATTGGCCTGCGAGCCTCGGGTCAATAATGTACCTCAATCTTCGACTGCTACTCAAGTATGGCTTTGTCCAATCCACAATGTTTTGTTCTGTCTTTGGTCTTGTTTTGTCTGTTGCTCTTCTTCCTGTTAGAAGTTCTAGCAGGACTACTCCGAAGCTATAGACATCGCTTTTTGTAGTCAAGTGTCCTGTAATGGTAAACATTCATATGTTGCGTTAGAGACATGAAATCTATTAGAGTTCTCAATTTCAGATGGTCGGATGAAAATATCTCGTGATTTTGGCCTGGCCTAGTTGACTCGCTGGGACAGGTTATATGCAATTTTTTTTTATAAAATTAAAAAGTTTACTTGTTAAAAGGTCTGGCCCGGCCCGGTTGGCTAGGCCATGAAATTCGTGGCCTAATGATACTAGTACTGTCTTGGCCCGACCCATTATTTCAAATTAGTCTGCTTGGAGGTAAGGCCGGACGGGCCAAACGACTCGATTGGTGTGCACATCCCATATTTATAACCATACCTGTTGAGATGTATTCCGGGGCTGCATATCCATAGGTGCCCATAACTCTAGTTGTAACATGTGACTTTGATCCTTCTGGCCCCATTTTCGCAAGTCCAAAATCCGACAATTTTGCCGTGAAGTCCTATTTCAAAGCGGTAACAGACGAATAAAAACTCTTAAACATAATTACTTAAAAAAAAACTGTAGTATTAAGCAGACACTAAATTACTACTGACTGAATCAAGTAAGACATTGGAAGTCTTGAAATCTCTGTAAATGACTGGTTTTTCAGCTCCATGCAAGAAAGAAAGTCCTTTAGCAGCACCAATTGCAATTTTTATTCTTGTTGCCCATGGTAGTGATGTTAGTCCTACAATAATAACACGTAGTGGTTTGATGATATATGTGACATGCTTCATTAATTCATGTATCATCAAAATAAACATTAATGATTATGAAACATACTTCTGAACATGTGATTCTCCAAGCTTCCTCTTGGCATGAATTCATAGACAAGTAGTCTTTCTTCATCCTCACAACAATATCCAATCAATTTGACCAAATTGGGATGTCTCAGCTGCCCAAGAAAAATCACTTCTGCCTGCAAAGTAAGCAATCTAACATTACTTCTAATTTCGTACTATCTCTCCCGAATGACTTATGAAAATAATTTATAGCTTATATGAAAACAATTTGATTTAATCTTTTCCTTCTCTATAAAGTAGTTTATACTTTAAACTACAAAATAAGTTGTTTAACCAAATAGCGACTTGATATATACTTACAAGCCATTCGCGGTGTCCTTGTAAACCTTCGATATCCAAAAGCTTAACCGCAACAGGTTGAGCCTTCAAACCTTGTCTAAAATTATCATCTAAATAACCCTTATGAACCGTTCCAAACCCACCTTCACCAAGCAAGAAATTACTCGAAAAATTCTGAGTAATAGCGCGAAGTTCACTAAGCTGAAAATCAAACATATCAGAACCAAAAGACAGCGCAAGATCTTCATTGATTCGCGTCGAAGACGAACGGCTGAGATCAGAAAAAGAAAGTCTCCTAAAAGACGGTAATGGAGCAATGTTCTTAGAATAATCTGAACGTGAAGGTTTGCATTTACTGAAGTTACTAAAAATTGTTTGGTTTTCTGTTGTGCAACAATTTGATGTGAATGGTCTCCATGGTTTTGATGGTTCCTTCATTGCAAAAAGAAAGTGAAGAGAATTCTGTAGAATGGTTGTGTTGTGGTGTCAAATAAATATACCAAAAGATTATATAATATACTTTGAATCTTTTTCTTTTGGTTAGTGAAAGAGACAGAGGAATTGGGCAGAGAAGAAAGATATATTCTTTCTTTATTTTGTTTCTTCAACTACTCTCTAACCACTCTAGTATACTACATTTGAGGGAAATTATGATGTCATGTTTTATTTTGTTACTTGTTATGTTATGTTATCTTGTTTTTGTTTAATTTGATACCTAGTGTTATAGGGTTGTAGTGTATTCATGCAAAAATATACCAAAATCTTTTTGAATTTTGAGTTTTGACCACTCCACTTCTATTTTAGGTGGTCACAAGTTTGATGCTTATTGAGTGTGAAAATGTTTGATTGATGAAATTCAAACATGTACAAATTATAATTAAAGTCGGATATATGGACTGAGGTCCGCGAACCAGCCCGATTCATATAGGGTTTTGACTATTTTTTAGTCTAATCTGCAAATTTACTACTTCTTTCATAACCCATCTAAATATTATTTTAAAAATTAACTAATTTTGTTCATCATAGATTTTATTAATAATAAAGTGTATTTAGTAAGTGCATAAATACTATTGATTTGAAATATATATTAAAATCATTTTTAAGTATTTTTAAAAAATTTTGTGGTTAATACTTATATCTTGTAAATTTTGATTAAAAATAATTAACAATTTATTTTTAAAATTTTAAAAAATTGATTTTTTGTAACTCTATTTTAAATTAATTAATTTTTTAAAATTTATCTATTTATTTTTTAACTCTATTTATATGTGAACTAACACTAACCAGCGTATTTAAGTCCATCAATAATTGCAAATATGTCGATCCAAACCATTTAATACATGTATAAATACGAAGCAGATTATACAAAGCGGATTAAACGGACGAATTAATCCTTATTCTGGTGCTAATTCTAATTATATATTGGCACAACAAATAATTTAAAATGTGAAATTTGTGATTGGTTAGAACTTTATCTGATCCATTAGTGTGGATTGTTCTAATAATATTGATGATGCTATCCAAACTTCAATTCATAATAATTATTCATAATAATTAAAGTAAATGGATCATGTATTAAGAAAGCTTAATTTAATTTAAAATAAATAATATATGTTTGCTAATGATTTGGTAACCTAAGTAACGTATAAAGAAGAAGAGTGACGAAGGGAATGATAGCATGAATCTGTGTCTTTATTCAGAAATTAATACAACTACTAACAAATTGTATTAAGCAAAGAGGAGCAGTTAGAAGTTGAAATGCTGGATACTATATTGAACAGTATAGTCCAAAAAAACTACATTATAATTATTATAATTAAGAAAAGAAAAACAAAGCATGAATGAGGTAGTCACACTTGTCCTCTGGCTCAAAATTTTAGTTACCAAATGGAAATGGATGGAACAGTTTAATGTTAATTATAAGCGAAGTTTGAAAATGTTGGTCACGGGTGCATCATTTGATCATTCATTTTCAAACTAAACTAGTGTGATTTTCATACTACTTAGTGTGATTGATTCTCAACTAAACCATGTAAATGGGGTTAATTAATGTTCACCCAATTCAAAGCTCTGTTTAATGTTAGAGGATAAAATTTACAACACCTGTAAAGTCATATGATCAAAATTCAGATGGGTGAAGTTGAATATGAAACTTGATTCACTGGTTTTGCCTTGGCTACATCTGTGCAGCTTGTTCCATATAATCAGTACTCATGTTTTCCTCTTTAACTCCAAAATTAATCAATTAATAACTCCATAAGCTTTATTTGTAAAAAGTAAATTCAATGGAACTCCTACTAATATTATGGAACTCCTACTAAATTCAATGGAACTCCTGCTAGTATTTCATGCATATATAAAAGTGAAAAAATTGTGGCCAATTGATTAAAACTAAACCACCCTATAATCATATTGTTCGGACTGATCTAATGGTTAAACATGACCCTATTCATTTTTCTCCTAGAACGGCCTAATAGTCCTAACTCTGCCAGCTAAGGGCAAATTGGAACTTCATCTCCTCTGCCCCTCTGTCGAGAAAAGCTGGCCAGCTGGCCCCTGGGATCAGCTGCCCCTCGTCACATTCTTATCCGTAACGCACGGTTTCACCATCCAGAAACAGTCAGACGCCCGGGCCCGCGACCGCACCTTTACCCGTGGCAACTGCTAGTTTCGAGCACCTATGCCCGTCCCAACGGCTAGTTTTT